GTCAAGAAAAACCAAAAAGAAAAACACTGTAGCCTTCTCAATCAGCTAAACCCCTAGCTGTACTTTCAACTTCCTTAGTGCATTACAATGTAGCTAACTGCTCTAAATTACCCTAAATTCCAAGTCACAGAGACTTTATTCAAACCTTATCTTACTTGCCCTTTTAAATGGTGTAGGACACAGGTTGACAACTCCTAGTCCTTCAAATATTCTCCTCTCAACTCCCTAACAAACTCACTCAGCTTTTCTGTTTTGTTTTGTTGGGTTTTTTTTTTTGGGGGGGGGGTCCTTTGTTTGTTTTTCCATCTGAGCTCTATTTGGCATAGATGGTTGACTTTCCCCATTAGCTTTGGCCCCATCTACCTAGAAACTTCTAACAAACGTGAAAATCATCCTTAACCTTCAGTCTTTCTCAACACATGCATTCATTAGTTTATGAGCGGCATCGTCACTGCATGCATCTGGATAAGAGAGGATAATTTGTAGCAGTGGGTTCTCTCCTACCATGTGCATCCCAGAGAGGAAAATAGGTTAGCAGCAAGTACCTTTACCCAATAAGCCATCTCACCGAACCCAATCTTTTTCTATTCTATAACATATTTGTCCTATCCTACTGATAAACTTCCCAAATCTATCCTACATCCACTCTCTCCTCTACATTCCATGCCATTTCTCACCAGGAATAGGTTTTTTAAAACTGGTCTTGCTTTCAAGTTGTGCCCCTTTCTAATCCAGCTTTCATTTCTGTCAAAATGACAGGTCTAAACCAACTGTGGTTGTATTGCAGGATGGTTTGCTGGAGGTGGTGGTGAAGCACTTTGTTTTTGTTGTTTATTTTATGTGTGTGGGCGTTTGGCTTCAATGTCCTCTGACACCAGAAGAGGGTGTCAGATCCCCTGAAACCAGAGCCACACATGTTTGTGAACCATCATATCAGTGCCCCGAATTGAACCCAGGTCCTCTGGAAGAGCCATCTCTTCAGCCCTGTTTTTGTTTTTTTCAACTAGAATTTCACAGCCTTCAAGGTGAAGTTAAAATTCCTAAGCTTGGTTTACAATCAGTGATTCATTTGCCTCTGTTCCAAAGCTGTGCTGTTGATGTATAGAAACGGAGTGTGTGAATGTAGCTAGTCTTAATTGAAATGTGCTAAAGTATAAAAATACCAGCAGATTCTGAAGACTTTGTATGAAAACGAGAATGTTAAATACCTTCGTATTATTGCTTTATATTGATCGCATGTTGAAATTATGTTATTTTAAAACACTGGGTTAATTTATGAGTCTCGACTTTTACTTTTTTAAAACACGGCTACTAGATTTCCCATATTACATACATGACTTGTGTTTGTGGTTTTTTTTTTTTAATACAAGAGCATTAGGATAAAATAGGTTCCTTCTTTCTGAACTTAGTTTATTCATATATTATTCAAGATTAGCTTGAGTAACTAAGATTCCAGAACATCCCCCACAGCCAAGAATCCAAGTCTGAGTCAACAAGCCTTTCTCTGTACTTTCCTCGTTCACAGGCACCTGTGCATACACCTGTCATAGATCACACCGTATGATAATTACCAGTTCCCAGCTAGCTCCCCTCCTAAAGTGTAAGCTCCTGGCAAAAACAGTATCGTTCTCCACATACTCAGGTCCCACCACCGTGCCCAACACTTCAAAGGACATCCAAATACTTGTCTTTTGTTCAAATGTGAATTTGGCCTGAAAGTTACTAGAATATTCGAATTCTCCAAGGAGAATCTTCTTCCCTAAGAAGCCTGTACCTGACGCTCTAATAATGGGAAGACTGGAGCATAGGAATCACGTAAAAGACAAAGGAGAAAATGAGGTTCACATCTACATTAGCAGTGAAAATGGGGATTTGCGAAAGTGATATGGAGCCTCAAACTCATATTTGGCATGCCAGGGGCCACAGTTTGATTCCTAAATTGCTTTAACAACCTATCCAACAAAAGAGTATGACTTGGCAGGTTACAACACAAACAGCTAGAGCCCAGCACCTGTTCCCCTTAAACAGCAGCACATCGTTATAGTTGAAAATAACAACAAATCTCACTCTGAAGCAAATGCTAATCTCATGATGCTTCACCATGGAGCAATTTAGAAGAGTTATTATATGAAATGTGCCAAAGCCTGAATTTATGGTTGATGCTTATTTGGCGAATATGGTTGGCACTGTTAGCTGTTAAAGGGAATGCACGCAAACAAGCAAATAAAAGTTTTTAAGCTCTCAGACTTAAATATTTACATTACCATAAATGTACGAAGATAAATGTTTATATGCATATACATATAAGGTATTTCAGGAACACAATTTTTAATGTGACTGTCAGAAAACAGTTATGAAGTGGCATTATTTCTTTATGGGCCCCAGGACAGACTCTTAAAATGAATTCTGACAGAATGTTAATGGGGTAGAAACACTACTGTGGACGTTTCTCTACACTACTACTAGACTAGTTCAACACCTGAACAACTCAGAGCAAGCTTATCTTTGCCTCTTACCAAACACGTCTCACAACACTGAAAACCAGCCAAACAGAAATGTGGGTTCCTCCATGAGGTGGGAGAAAGGAGGACTGCCAACCAAAAAGCTTGAAAGAAAATAATCTAACAATTTCCCCTCATAACATAGTCATGTTACTCTCTCCAAAATAGAGACATGATAAAATATTTTCTCTTCTTCCCCTCTGACATCTATGGGAAGGGGATGTTTGTTTTTTACATAGTTTGCGAGCTGGTCATAGCCAGAACTCACTGGCAGTGGTACGAACGCTGTTTCCATTGTTAACTGTTAATCTCTCTGATAAGGCTACTAACTCCTATCTTGGAAGCCAAGAAAATGTACCTCATGTACCTCACTGGCAATTATAGTTTACTGAAAAAGTCACCAAAGAAGTGCCAAGCATTCTGGAAAGTAATTACGGTAGCCAGTGAATTGCAAGATCTAAAATGCTCTTGAGATTACAAAAGAAGCCATCATGAAGTGGGTATCCAAGATTGCTCATGGAAAGTTTTACCCTTGTGGATAATTCAAATTTGGGCTTTCTGGGTTTTTTTTTTTTTCCACTTTGCAGAGAGCAATATGTGTTCTCTAGACTACACACTTCATTTATCGGGGGAGGTAAAGGAGAGTCACTGTAGCTGAACAACAACAACGACAAAAAGCTGCCAAACAGAACACTCAAAGCAATTCCAATTCAGGTGAAAAGGCTGCTCATGTTCATCATCCAGTGACCTAAAAATAGTCTTTTATGTAAGTCGCCAAGTATTTAATTGAAAGTGTAATCTTACCACATTCAACAGAGGCAAAGAAAAATGTACTGGGTTTTCTATAGTAAGGCCAATAAAGATGAAATCATAATTTTCCTCTAACTCATCTCCATCCTTCAACAACAGCCTTCCAATAACTCTATTCCACAGCTCTGATTCCTAAATTTGGGTCCTTTGAAAAGCGAACTGCAGAAATGAGACTTTGGGGGGGGGGGCTCTTTGCTAATGCTCTCAGCAGTCACAGCAGTCATTAACGTAGTCCAAGAACAAAATCAAGCTCTCCAACGGATGGATGGTGCATAAGATGGGGGGGGGGGGGGGGAACGGGACGAGAAGGGGACCCAGTTCAGATGGCAAGTCCTCTTCGAAGGAGGAAAGTTAAGTCGCAAGAACCCTGAGTCAAAGGGAAAAGAAAAAAACTGTCTGACCCACTCTCTCCAAATCCCAAACCCTAAGCAACCCAGTAAGTCCGCAGGCGTTAGGGGCTCACCAGCTAGAGCGTGAAGTGAGCAGGCACAGAGCCACCGGTTCCATCCCGACTGATGCTGCAAGGCTGACCATGATCCTCCCAGGTTTGGAAGCGGAATGACCATACAGACTTGGCAGAAATCCTTCCTGCCCCAGCCTCCCCTCCCGCGTCCAGCTCCCTTAAGGCTTCACTTTCCCCCGAGCCTCGCAGCTCAGCCCCGGGAAGTCCCTAGCCACCAGGTTCCAACTTTCCCTCCTCTGGGGGGCGCCGCGCAACCGGGACCATGGCAGCCAGGGTAGCGAGGCCTGGGCCAACGGGGGGCACGAGAGGGCTCGCGGTGCCCACGGGGCGCGTGGGTGGCCGGGACGCTGCAGCCCGCGCCCTGCAGGACGCACCGGCTGCTGAGCCCCTGCGGCGCCGCCCAGTCCAGATTCCCCTAGGTCCCAGTCCTCACCTCGAGGCGACCCTGGCCCCATAAGCCTGCGCGCGTGGGAAAGGGACCGGAGAGTACATGGGCAACCCTGCCCCCGTTACCTGAGGGGAGCACACGCCGTTGCAATGATCACCATTGCCGCCTGTCCCGTCCCCTTACTGGTAATCGCGGCCGCCGCCACCGAGCAACTGACACAACTAACTAACTACTCGCGGCCGCGGAGTCCACAGCGCGCTCCCGGCCGCTCGCAGTCCGCCCAGCCTACCAGTCTGCTCGCTCCTCCCAACCCCGCACGCCGCCCCGCCGCGCGCACCCTCGGCCGCTTCAGTTCTAGAGATAGCGCGCGGGCGCGCGCACCAAAGCTCGGCGTCTCCGAGATCCCCACTCAACCCCAAGGGAGGGGCTAACAAGAGGCCACGCCTCTCGGGGGGGTGCCAATATCCGGAGAACAAGACCTAGAGAAGGTCTGATTGGTTGATGGGCGGATCCAAAACTAGAGGGCGTGACAACCGGGACCTTGAGCCCACGTGACGGGGAGTTTGGATTCAATTAAACGCCAGTGGAAACTAACAGCGCAGTTTTGGACCTTTTCGGGGCCTAATCACCTTGTCAGCCAGTCGGAAAGTACAGAATAAGTATTCTCAAAGACTTCAGTACATTATAATTACCAATTTAAGTCCCACTATTTTTGAGAGCCTTAGCTATGAAAAAGAAAACTACATTTCCCAAGAACCTTCGCGAAAGTTAGTCTCACCTTGCGTAGTCACGTAGTCCTTCGCCGCATTGGGCAAAATAATCCCTTCATTTCTCTGAAAGTATCGGGAATAATTTTTCACGTCTCTCCTCACCGGAACAATTCTAAATATAACCACGATAAGAGGAGTTAACTATCTGGAGGTGACTAAGTGATTAGGTAAAGAGTAAGAAAAGACACCAAAATAAAGTTCTGCGGAGGAATTTCTGTCAAGCTGTGAGACGACGGAGTGAAGCGTGAAGGCGATTGAGAGGGGCTGAGGGAATTGTCCTCTGTGCAAGGGACTTTGATTAGTCCCCAGGCCTCTGCCTGCCCCTACCGTCAGCAGGTCAGTAAGCAAGACGAGCTTGGGGGTGGCCACAGTCGAGATGTCCTTCCCCCTTTGAAGATCATCCCTCTTTTGCTGCTGCTGTATTGGTTTGTCTTGGTTTGAGGCCCACTGAATGGGGGCGCCTCACTTCCGGCTGGGGGAAGGGAGACATGCTGTCATGGGGAGGGGGGAACATAACTCACTTCCTGTGGAGTAGGATGTTATTTGGGGGGTGTCCAAGCCACTTCCCGTGCTGATGAGAGCCAGACAAGGTGTTGGTTTGTGCCATTCTCAAGAGAGAGTTCCTACAGCCTTGGGGGTCACAAGTTCGGTTCTTCCCCAAGCTGTAATAATCACCAGGCCACGATCTAAATTGTATTTTGTCTCTACGTATGATATGGAAATTTTCTCCACAGCAAGACTTTATTAATGCTTTCTCCAAAGAATTCAAAACACCTTGTTAAAATTCTCTGCAAGACTCCATGCTTTGTTGTATGACTCGTGAGGTGCCCACTCTTGGACCCTAGTCAAGTGTGTTCTTAACTGAGTCAACTAGCGTGGTCTCTGCCTAGACATGGAAGCAGGAACTCTTTACCCACTCAGAAAAGGAGAAAGTTTATTAGTTGACGTACCGAATAGTTCACATAAATTACGAGGCGTTTTCATTTTTGCAAAGGGAAAGGGTATCATAGTGCAGTACTGAAATTTGATGTTACGTTAATAGATGTAATTAGTATGTTACATAGTTAGACCTGTTACTTTAGGACTGAAGGATTTGCCTCCTACCTGAGAACAATGTCAACCTAAATATCGTTATCATGTAGCTTATGTGTGGCGTTTATGAAAGATGCATTTTCCTTGCAGCCTTCCTTCCCTCCCACCCCCACCCCCCGTAATTTAATTGAATTTGTCACTGATTTAAAACTGAGGTCTATTTATTGTTTTATGGCATGGCACAAGGATGATGGATTCAGCTCACATGTTGAGTAAGGAGAAAATAACTCACAAAGAACAAAAGGTGAATAAGACAGAATTTTCTGCTTTCCTGTATTCTGCTTTTTTTTTTCTTTTTTACAAGAAGCAGTATCAGAAGTGGTAATGAACAACAGTTTGAGTCTGTGGCTTTCCTTGTAAAGCAGAATGGCATATGAGTGCATGTTTGCTGGACCTTACTTTCTGAAACCTCAGCCTTTTTAAATGCAGGATATGTTGAACCTGAAATCGCACTGTCTTCCACTATTAGATGCGCGTATTTCTAGTCACAGTTTGTACTCACAGTAGTAAACATTTTAACTAAATATGAAAATAATTTTTTTTACCTTAATGTGAACATTTTTTTAAATAAATCAGTCTTAGTCCTAGAAACACTTACATGGCACACATATGAACTCCCAGAGACTGTGGCAGCATCAACAGGGCCTGCACAGATCTGCACTAGATGAGGTCTAGAGCTAAAGAGAGAAGTGGACACATGCCCTCATCCCTAACCCACAGGCTATCTGCAATTGATAGCCACTTGCAAATGAAAAATTAGTTTTCTCTGAAGGAGTTTCACTGGGGAGACAAACCGCTCATAAGGATAGGCCCCATGCCCAGCAGTAGATGGTCCAGACAACATGAACTCAATGCATCTTTGGAGATTCAGTGTTTTTTTTTCTTTGTGTACATGTTATGGTTTCTGGTATGATATGGTTTCCGGTCTGGGGGTTTTATGGGATTCCTGTGTCCAAATGTGTGTGTGCCTGGCTCCTTCTCTTGTTTGTTTTGTCCTATTCTGCTATGTTGTATTTTATTATTCCTCAGATGCCTGTTTGTTTTCTAGTAAAGACAGAAAGGGAGTAGATTCAGATGGGAGGACAGGAACTTGGAGGACTGGGCAGAGAAGGAAAACTAATCAATATATGTTTTTTGAGAAAAATCTATTTTCAATAGAAGAAGAAACAAATTGTTCTTAGACTTAAATAATAGACCACTTGCCTACTATACATAATATGAGCCCTTGGATTTGGGGTCTGATCACCAGTACTGACAGGAAAAAATAAAAATAAATTAGCCTGCTTAGGTATGCTGGTGCATCTCTTTAATCCCAGCACTCAGGAGGCAGAGGGAGACAGAGCTCATTGAGTTCCAGTCCAGCCAGATGGACACTGTCTGCCACATCTCAAAAATAAGTAATAAATCAGTCTGCTGGGGGAGGGGATGTAGTGAGTGGTGGAGCACTTGCCTCATATGAAAGGACTTCCCTTTCATCCCCAGAACCACCACCAATAACAAAAATTCTGAGATGCTAAAATCAGTATTTGAAAGACTACAAAATTGCTGCAGTAGTTAATTTTTTAAAGATAAGGCAAAATATTGTCTGTGATTGTTGAAAGAAAGTTAGGACCATGTGCACGGCACCAAGGGGATATTAATTGGCTAGAGAGAAAGTATTCACTGTGTTCTACATTAATGCAATATACTAGATGTAATCACTCTGAAAAATTAACCATAGTGTTAGGAATTGAAATATGGAAGGATGGTAGAACTAAATGAGAAAGAGAAAATAATGTCATAATATTGGTTGAGGTACAGTATTGCTATTGCCGTTGGGGAACAGCCTTGAAAAGCAAAGGAGTTTATTAAATTGATCCTGAAGATATTCGTGGAAGACATGCAGTGTAATAGGAACAAGACAAATTGCACTGGAAAGACTCATGCAGCTTGAAGAACTGTCTGTTGAGAAGAAAGCAATATAGAAAGTACATATCAGGAAGATGTTTTGTGATAACTGACAGTTATGCATTGGTCCCATGAAAGAAGAATTATTAGATACACTGGTGAAAAATAGAGAAGGAAGCCTGTGTAGCCCGTTCCTCCTCAAGAAGTATTTCTGTGGAAAGGCTTATCTTCTTCTGAGGGATTTTCCCCCTTAACTGCCTAGTGTTGCTTTTTTTTTTTCTTTAACATGTTCCTAGTGACAAAATTGGAAAGAGAAAACCTATTTGTAAACATACTGTTGCTTCTTTAATAAATTTTAGGTTTTCATTTCACTGCTTGCCATCGATAATACAGAAGTTGTTGATTGTTTTTAGAGTATCTGGAGTAAGTAACCATTTTATTTCCTTATGCACTTCTTGGAGCAGTTTGAAACATTAAAACAGTAGGCCAAAGTTCTTAAGACCATCGCACTGAAATTTTATCATCCGCAGAGATGCCTCTTTCCTCTTGTTTACCCTGTCCTGTGAAGCTGATGCTAGTGTTTTATAACAGGCGGCTTTACTTCGTTCCTTGGTGGTGGCGGTTTTTTTGGTTTCTGCTTTGTAGTTGATGGCTACCAGTTTAATGGTTTTAGATTTATTGTTTTGCTATCTTTTATTTCTGAACGTTTTATGTATTCAAGTGAAAAATCCTCTTAGGTGGTTTTTTGTGATCTTAACAAAACTCAGTACTCATGTGTATCAGTCATGTTTTTGTTTCAAGAAATACAAATACCCTCAGTATATTCTCTTGGAGCTTTCTTCTTAGTAGACACATCAAAGCTAGAATTTTGCTTACTTGATGTTCTTGAGTGAGATATGTGTTATAATCACTGTTCAAGCTGGATTAAGATGCATTCCTAAATTTGATATCTCCTGATCTTGATTTCTAAGCCATTCTAAAATTTGTTTTTAATATTTCCTTTATTGTTGCACGTATCATGATTTTTCTGTTTTAACTTGCTTTGTACTCTGTAAGTATGAGTGAACAGTAGGGAAAACTGGAGATCAGACTGGCCTAGATTCAGAGCTAGTCTTTGTATTTTATTAGCTTCATCACCTTGAGCAGTTAGCTTCCATGAGCCTTCAGTTTCCCTAATCTAAATGTGACTCCTTGATGAAAGGGGGTATTATTACATGGGAACCACTTGTTGTAGTCCTGGTGGTAGGAGTTTGAAGGATGGTGTTTTTTTAACCCAGTGATTCTCAACCTTCCTAATGCTTTGACCCTTTAATACAGTTCCTCATGTTGTAGTGACCCCAACCATAAAATTATTCTGTTGCTACTTCATATCTGTAATTTTGCTACTGTTGTGAATTGTAATGTAAACATCTGATATTCATGATATCTGATATACGATCCCAAAGGGTTTGAGACCCGCTGGTTGATAACCACTGCTTTAACCCTTAGGCCTGCTTCAGCTATGCTGGCTGTTGGGATTTATCCATTATCTCGTTTAAGCTCACATATAGAATACAATGGTAGGTTCATTGATATTCTGCCTTCTGTCAGCATGCTTATGAGGTAGTCATGGTTTTATTTCTTATGAGAAGGAAAAGAATCACAGATTTCAATTATTTTACAAAATGTACTTAGTAGAAATGTTTTAAAAAATTAAGGAATCATTAAAGTACTTTAAATTAATTTTCCCAACTACTAAGGCCCCTCACACTATAACCGTGTCTTTCTTTACATTTGAAACTGAATGATGTCTGAGGAGGAAAATTCTGCACAATACCCAGCCTTTCTCCCTTTGTCCTGTCAGATGTACTTCCACTTTTTCTGGGAATCCCCATCTATTAACGTTCCGCCTTGTGCCCTCTCTACATACTACCTCTCTACATTCTACCATCAAGAAATGTTTTCTGATGTCTGGCCGTGTCTCCCTCTACTCCCAAATCATCTATGTTCTGTCTATTGATCCTCTAGAGTATTATGTCTTTATCATTGCACTTAATATCCAGTGTTCCTGATGTTTATTTTACTTATTATTATATAGATAAAATGTCCTCCCAGGGAAGGCTTATGGACTATACCCTGTTCATCTCTGGGTTCGCTGTCATACCTGGAATAATGTCTCTCATAGGCATTGAATTAATATATATGGAGTTTAACTGGCACTAGAGTTGTAATGAAATTAATATGTAACTTTTATCTACTATTTATGCTCAACATGAAAGATTATGGCCAGTATATAATAGATACTCATACATCTGTAGAATGTGTGGTAAATCATTATGTTCCCATTTATAAGCATTCCATGGTGTTACTGTCATATATTAAACACCTGATACATGTTCATAACTATGAGAATTGATCTCTGCAGTCGATGTAATTGATAACTTGCATGTAATTTGTAACTTGCATGTGGACTCATCTAAGTGAGTGATGGGAAGACCAGCACACATGGTATAGGGAGAGAGTTCCCTGTTGTCCAAACACAGAAACTAAGTAGATTTTTTACATGTTTAAAATGAAACGTTTACTTGCATGAAAACATTTTGATCATATTTTCCCCCATTCATTACCTTCTATTATCCTCTCTCCTCCTGAACCCTTTTCTCTTTCCTAACAGATAGTCCCCTTTTTATTATCATGTATTCTCCCTCACCTAAAATCCATATACAAGAAAAAATATGTGATACTTGCCTCTCTGAGTCTAGTTTATTTTTGTTTAACATAGTGATATCCAGTAGGAACAACATGATTCTGTTCTTCCTTATTAATAAAGTATTATTTCATTATAGATACATAGGTAGGCAGATAGGTAGGTAGGTAGATGATAGATAGATGGATAGATAGATAGATAGATAGATAGATAGATAGGAAGGACCCAGGAGTAGTATAACTGAATCATATGTGTTGCGGGAGGTCCTCCCACTCCTCCAGCCTATAGCTGCTGAGATACCAGCCCATTGGGGCGTGGTCTCTCTCCCTTTAAAAAAGCGGCCACTTCCCTCTCCTCTCTCTCTTCACTTCCTGCTCCGCTGGCGACTAGACTCCCTTCCTGGTTGTGTAGAGGGCTGTTACCTGGGACAGTGATCTGTAAGTTTTTTCCCCTTTAAATAAATACCACCCTATTAATCATAATTCCAAACTAGTGTGGCATTGTTTGTGACTTACGCCTTCACATATGCTACTTTTGTTTGTAGGTGGGTGTATTTTTTTTTAATCATTGTTTTTGAGCCAGGGTCTTACTATATAAACCGTGTTGGCCTTGAACTTAAAGAAATATACCTGCCTTTGCCTTCTAAGTGCTAGGATTAAAGGCAACTCACA